GTGAAAGAAACTAGACACAAAGGAATATATACTGTATAACTCCATTTATATAGAATTCTAGAAGAGGCAAAATAACTCCGTCTATGGTGACAGATGTCAGAACAGTGGTTGCTGATGAAGGGTGAAGGTCAACTGAAAAGGGTAATGAAGAAACTTTCTGAGATGGTGGAAATGTTCTATATCTTGGTTGGGTTGTTGTCAAAACTCATCAAACTCTATGTCATTTTGATCTGTGTGTTTCTCCACACAGAAATTATACAATAATATTAATAATGATAATACTAATAATAGCCTGGATCCTATTAACTTTGTGAAGTCACCCTTTTAGACCTGAACCTTATTTACATGAGAAAGTAACTTCAACCAGTCTTAATTGGCATTTTTCTATCCTGATGGCATGGCATCTTTGCACACCAGTCACTGATTGTGTGGTTGACTCTCTTGGCACTGGGTGATGAAGTCAATGAGGGAGTTGGTCATAGGAGCCAGGGCACAAGTGGACAGGTGGTATCTAACAGCAGGGTTAATCTGAGTGCCATAGTTTAGAAGGGTCTCTAGGGAGGCCCTAGTTCCAGGGTTTCTCCACCTTGAACCCACAGCAAAGTCTCCTCATGGACTCTCAGCGCACTCAGTGGACCTCTTTTCCTTTTCTCACACCTGACTGCCACCACTGTCAGCCCATTCAGCAAGCAGAATCCCACTTTGTGGGGTTTAGTTTGGTCAGTTGATTGTTCTCGAATGCTGGTACTAGGACTATTCTTAGCACACCACCAAACCCCAGGAGGCTCTCAAGATGCACAAGGCTGAGTAGCAGCTGCATCATGACTATTACCAATGCTATTATCATCATCATTATTGAGGGCATGCGGCTTTTGTGGTACGCCAATCGGAGGATGTTTGAGGGCCTGTTCCGTAATTGGAAGAACCAGTCCAGAGCATGTGTGGGTTTCCATTTGGAGTGAGAGTGACCTCAGAGGAAGCATGTTTCCTCACACACTAGGAGTTGGCATTTCTGGCAGGTCCAGTAGGCAGCTTCCTGCATGAATGAATTTCAGTTTCATCTTCTGTCCTCCTCTCTTATTCTGCCCAGCTCTGCCACCTCTGCCTCACCAAACAGTCCCCTTACCAGCAACCACAAATGCTACAATTAGAGATTCATTCCTTTGACTTTATAGTTTATCTGCTATTAAAATGCAAACCTTCCTGCTGTCTTTCCTAGAATTGTGTTTTCTTTCTTTTCTCGTTTTCCCTTTCAAGAGAAAGAAGTGGGGTGCATAAAAGACAGCATGAGAGGGTATTAGTGTGGAGGTAAGATCATGGAGAAAAAGTGGAGTGAGGTCAGTGAGGACAAAATAATGATTAGAAAGATGAGTGCTTTCTGTGTTTCCAATGTGTCCTGGGTGTTGTCACATGTTATGTTCTCAGGGTAGCCCTCTTCCTGAAGTTTTATTTCACAAACACTTAGTGTTTACTGTGTACTAGGCACTGTAGCAAGGGCTGTATGAATCTTGCCTCATTTAATTTTATAACAACCTTATGAAGTGGGTATGTTAGTATCCACATTTGATAGAGGAGTAAGCTGAGGCACAGAGAGATTCAGTAACTTGCTCAAAGTCACATGGCTGGAAAGTAGCAAAGCTGGTATCCCAACCCCAACCATTTCCCTGCAGAAGTTGTGCTCATGAGAACTTTTATATAACCATAAAATAACAGGTTATTGCTCCCTTATCATTGGACGATCCTAATTGCCCAGATAGCTTGCTTTTTCATTCAGACGCTATTTCCTTCAAATAGATACTTTGAGGGTGATCTCACTATTATAATTTTCTTTGCACAATGAAATGTTTTCATTTTCAAGATGCATCTGCATATTCCCAGTATTTCATTTCCCTCCCAAGTTATTTTCCCAAAGGAAAAAGATGTGATATCTGTTTTCTTTGAAAAATCTAAAAGCAAAACACAAGAACAACAACAAAAAACCCCAACCAATTGATGTTGTGCTGTCTTTGTAATTCAGAGACCCTGGGGCCCAGGACACAGCCCTCTAGACCTCTGAGACACATTTCCTGGGATTTTAGGGTGAGGATCCTTGAAATACAAGGAGGAAAACCTGAAAATATTATTTAACTATTGTTCACCAGAGCCACAGCCAAACATAGAAGGAGACAGAACCCTGAGAGGCAGAGGAGAAATATCTGAGTGTTTGTGATGGAAGAAAAGCCAATGTCTAGTACAGGCTCTCCTGTATGCTGGGGTGGCTGTGGAAGATGCTGGAAGCTTTCAGCCCCAAAACTGGCCCTTCTACAGACCTGGGCATATGAGAGCCTGCCAAGGCAAGGGTAGGGTGTGATTTTGGAGAAGAACATCTGGAGTCTTTTTTTTCCCTAGAGAAATGAAAACCACACGTGTAATTAAGGAGAGGCGTGCCATTCTATGGAGAACTTCTTACTCATACCTGAGCAGAATAAAAATCTTCTGTGAACTCTGTTCCTGCCTCTGTGTCCTTATGCTAATGACTCTGGTGTTTCATTGTTTGTGGAGGCCATAGGAAGGTAGGGTTCTGCTTTGGAAAGATGAAGACAGAAAGGACCACACTTCCCACTGGCTTGGATGGAATGGAGGGGGTGAGATAGAAGTAAAAGGATACAAACTTTTGGAGAGTATGGGAAAAAGGCAGGGTTCTGAATAAAACCAGATCATGCTCTGGGGCCAGGGGTACAGTGACATCCATGGCTTCCAGCCTTCATAGCCTTTTGCAACCCTACTGGGGTTCTGATCTCTGACCTGAAGGCCTAACCTTCCCTCAGGGTCTGAATCAGGTATCAGTCCTGGCTGGTATCCCACTGGAGCCTTCTCTGAAACACTGTTGCCCTTCTGTAGCCATACCATCTCAGTCTAGAGTCTCTCAAAACTTGTTAGCACAGAACCTCAAAGCCCACCACAACTCTGTAACTCCTTAACATTCTTCCATCTGTGAAGCCTCCACTGTGTGTCACCACCATAAGAGTTCAGGGGACTTTTCTATCCTTTTTTAATAGCTGGTTCCACCACCCAGTTCCTGCTCAGACCAGAGCCAATCTGCAGATGCATAAGTGAAAAATAAATGCTAATCACTGTACGTCACTGAGTTTTGGGGTTGTTTGTTACAAAGCATTATTATCAGTGGAAATAGCTAACTGATGCACTATTCCTATTTAGTATGTCATGGAATCCTAGCACTCAATGGAATCCTCTTTGGGAAATGCTGAATCACTGTCAGTAAAAGGCTAAGCCAGAGTCATATTCAAGTCTTCTAATTCCAAAGCCTGCTTGCCCCACTGCATCAAGCTGAGGGAGATTAGCATCAATGTTCTCCAGGGTTGGAAGGCTGCCCTGAGATAAGCGTTTTAGGGATTTCTCACTGCTAGAAGAAATACAGGAGGTGAGGCAGGTGGGGCTCATAGAGTGTCCAGGATGGCACTTTGAGACAGGGTGGAAGCCCTCAGGTAGGGGTACCAGAAGCAAGAAACCCACATATGGGGCTGTAGCCCGCCCCCCCCCCGCCCAAGGCCAAGTCCTTGAAAGCACTGGATTGCAGAGGTTATAATCTCAGATTTTGTTAGGACTGCTTTCAAGTTCTTTCCTTTCTTAAATCTGCAGAAGCACATTATTTCCAAGGTCCTTGTCAGAAACCTAAATTCGTACCAATTTGCTGAGTTGGTACAAAGTGTAGAATTGATGGTACAGAAAGACATTAAACAACCTACAACCCTTTAGACCATGTCAACAGATCATCCATAGCCTCAACTGCAGAAACATTTCATTAAATCCTTGCAGTTTCTCCCCAAAGAGTAAGAATGCCCTTCTATCATTTAAAAACAGATGGAGGCCTGGCGTGATTTTCACTATAGCTAGGGTAGTGTATTCACCTGAGCTAAGCTCTAGAGAAGGTCAGTTAATCTTTATCCAAGAAATATATCTTGAGCACCCTCGGGTGGGGGCTGCAGTACTCCACTGGATCTGACCCAGCCTAGGGCAGAGAGAGATGGGTCAATGACAGTTATAATGCAGTTTGCTGAGTGTGTTGGTGAGATGTGAGGATTCTTTATACGCAGACGAGTAACTATTAGGGGCTGTCAATACAGAGGTCATTCCGAAGCCCCCTGCACTTTGCCAAATAGAGGTTATAGAACTACCTCCACCATTAAGCAAGTACAATGTGCATAGAATGGGTGTGATTCTTTTCTATAGGGTGAAGCTTACCCAGGGACTATGATGGACTGATGGAGTGAATGAGTTCCAAAATGCCATCCTAAGGTGAATAGGGGCATCACCTAGGAGGTAGCCCTGGAATGTGATTGGCAATGAAGAAATGCTAAATTGATAAATCTGATCCCTTGTCCTAAGCCCTGTTTGGGAAAACAATGAAGTAAAAAGGTTGGTCAGCCATGGAGACTCCTGGAAAAATGACACTTGATGCCAGCTGAGGCTGGTGGTGCCCACTAAGCAAATCCAGGGGAGAGGTCTTGGCCCAGGGTCCTTGAGCTTGCAGATTTCCTCTGTCCAAAAGCCAAGAGAAGAGCTCTTGGGTTCTGGTGAGGCAAATGAGGTGCTCGGCACAAATTAAAGGAGGTGCTCACTGTCAGGGTCATGGAAATGCAGGGTAGGTACTTGACAGTTGAGTGAGCCCTGCATGCCTTCCTTGCTTCCTTTGAGTCCCAGCCCTGGCAGAGAGGCTAAGGCCCCAGCTCCAGACTTGGGAGGTGTGTTTTGAATGTCTGCTCAGTCATTTATCAGCTCTGTGATCTTGAGCCAGTTCTTAACTCTTTAAACTCCCATTTCCCCATCTGGAAATTAAGGATTCAGTTTCAGTCTCAGAGAGGGATAAACAAGAATGTTGCCTTATGAGTAATAAGCATAGAGCCTTCAGTAAATGGTTATGACTAGCTAGGCAAGGAGTCCTCTCTGCTGAGAGAGTCCTCCTTCAGGCGTATCTGAGAGATGTTTCTTAAGGTCACTGTATACTTACCTGGCAGGGGAGATACTATGATCACAAAGGTGGTTTTCCCAGGGTAAGGCTTATCCATTGCACTTTGGATTTGCTTACCCCTCTGACTTCCCCAAATGTGGGAAATCTGACTACATAACTCATGGTATTGGGAGACTGTATTCGCACTTTCCCCTATCAAAAAAAGGGTCACTATAGTGGATGATGTGATGTGTCACACGTGTTCCCCTTCAGGACCACAGACTGACTTCAATAACTGCTGAGAGAACTGCCAGCAGGAATACCTCAACTGTCCACCCTTCAGGAATTACCTCAGCTACAGAGAGCTGCCTTTTCCCTGGGTGACTCCCTTCCCAGGGCAGCCTTCATCCAGTGGCTCATAATCTGAGGGTACACAGGCCAAGGGTCCTTATCCCAACTTGGGATAATTCTGCAAGGTCATTTCAGTTCCAAACACCGCATGGGATTGGCTGAGGCCTCTCAGTGTGGGCATGGCAGCCAGAGTTCTCTCTGCCCAGTCCAGCTTCCCTCACTCTCCCTCTGGCATTTACTCCAAGAGCTCTCCTTCATAAACTCCTTGCCCTTCACATGCCAACTCCTCTCGAGGTCTGCTTCCCAGATAGCTCGATCTGCAGTAATCATCTCACTCCCTCTTTCTGTTTCTCTGCTCACCATATTAATCAGCATTCTTTTTGTTGTAAACTTAGGCAAAAAGAACAATGTGCTGGATTGCAGAATCCCGGGAAAGTTGAGAAGTAGGAAAAAATGCAAACTATTGGGTCGCCACACTGGAGACGTGAATGCCACCAAGATGCTTTCCTTTACTCAGATCTGTGACTCTCCATGTGCATGTTATTCTCTTTTACATCTCCATTTACAGCTACAAATTCAGCATTTGAATTTTGCATCTGAAATTCTAGTCTGCTTTAGAAAAACCAACTCCTTTCTAATTTAGAAAACTCCAAGGAACAGTTCTGATTTGGCACATTTTGGGTCAGGTACTATTCTGGGCCAATTAGCAGAGCCCAGGAACCATGTAAAAAAGTGACCACTCCCCTGGGAATCACCAGGATGAGGGGCAGGGCAGTTGACAGAGAAAGAAGGGGAAGAAGAAATTGGCAGGTAAAGTAAAAGTTATTCACTTGTAGAGAATGTTTTCATATTTTTGGTTGCCTAGTGTCTGAATCCCCTTTTTCTAATCTAGATAGGAGGTAGAACACCCCTGTCACTTAAGCAGATAAAGCTTTCATGGTACTTACTATAGCAGACAGTGTTGTGTACATACATAAGCACTCATAACTCAACACTCCTGTATGTGCCAATGTAAGCATATGTGACTCTCCATGCAGGGCAGGTTGGATGGGCAGGGAAACTGATATCTCCCCTGGGTGTTAAGGCTACCCTCAACCAATGACAGAAGAGAATTGGTGGATCAAAACTCCGGTTTCCTCATTCCTTAGGTGGGACAACTTCAAGAGGGTCTATACTGCCTCCCAGAGGTCCCCGAGAAGAAAAATGAGCCCCAGTTGCCTACACTGATGACCTACTGCATGACATTTCCTTTCTCAGCTTCTCCCTTTTCCTATCTCAATACCTCATTTTCCTACTGTGCTTCCTGAAATCACTTTCCAGGTAAACTACTTGCACTCCAATACTTAGCTCAGGTTTTCTCCTGGGGAAATTCAGACAATTGCTTTTCCAACATTCCCAGTGGAGAAACCATGTGCACTAAGGCTCAGCCAGTCAGATATACCTGCCATAGATTTGAATTGGAAGCCAACAACAGTGGGAAATTCTTTCTGGCAGAGGAAGCCATGGTGGCTGCAACATTCTGTTTCTAGCAGACACCAGCAATCAAAGGAGTCAAGTGTCTGTCATCTCTTGGCAGTACAGGCTAGTGCTTAGCTGACTGGGGCCTGGTTTCTCAGCCACTCACTGATGCTACCTGCTTTCCAAGGCTAGTTCCACAGCTTTCCTGGCAACTTGGTGAATGAACCATCTAATATTGCTTCAACAATTCCTTTAATGTTCCAATTAAGCCAGACTTCGTTCTAAACACCAAGCCCCTGTCAGCTAATGTGGCTGTCCAGATCATTTGCTTATAAGCAGAGAATATAATCGTCAGGCTGGCGGGGATGTTTGGCATCACTCTGCATTAGTCTGATTAGTCATCCTGTTTTGTCGATTTAAGTCCCTTTTGAGCTGGAGGAGCAAGCCAATCCATTCTCAGGGGGCCGAGAGCATCCGGTTCCTGAGGCTGCCAGGCTGAGGGTCTGATTGGCGCCAGAAGTCAATCCACCAAAACACCGTCTCAGAGGACAGAAGGCAGACATCACTCCTGCATGTCCCTTGAATCAAGGCTCTTCTTACTTGAAACAGCAGCACTAAGAGTTCCACCTATCACCCAATCAGACTCACATGTGAGCTTTCCTTTCAGAGCAAGACCGCAAATGCAGTGGGCAGCAGAAGGTACCAGCAGGAAGATCTTTCTGAAAATATTCTGTGTAGCTGAGAGTGAGGACAGAAGGCTAAATGTGCAGCTTGGAGCTATCACTAAAACCTCCTTAATGCAGTGAAGAGGAGAGGAGGAAGAAAAATATTTTCTTACTCTTTACCTTTTCCCTGGTCTTGATAAAATTAATGTTGCTAACTGCCAGTCTCCTCTGAATATGTGCAGAAGAAACAGTAAGATAGGATAGGGTAGGATAGAACGAGCTGAATTCACAGCAGGTAAATAAAACCATCTCACTTAGTGGTTCCTGCATCAGCCTTCCTTTTCTCCCATGAAACAAATGCCCTGTATCTTTACCTCCAGCAAACAGGGTAAAAATAAGCAAAAAAGAAAGTTCACTTGCTGCCTGGGAGTGACTGGGGTAAGGTGGGGTGTAGTCAGGAAGGCCCTGGTTGGCCGAAGCTCCATTTACACACTGACACACTCCTCTCTTGTTAATATTTGCACTGAACTAGCCATTTTCTGTGCTGACATTTCGCATCTAGTTAAATGCCAACAAATCCAGAGAGATGTGGCTTTGACCTGTGGTTCTGCCCTTTTGGACAAGCATTGGATGCTGTGGTACTTTGTTTCTAATTTTGGATATTCCACATCTTGGATTCTTTCACCTCAGATATTTTTTTAACTGGATGAAATGCTTCATACTTCATATTTCTGTTGAATATTTAATTGAGAAATGTTGTTAAAAAGGCATTTGGCTTAAATGATCTAAGTGCATGCATAGATATTTCCTTTCTGAAAGTGAAATGGCTTTGAATGATTTTTGTTATTATGAGGGAATTACAGAAAAATTTGCCTTAAAATGCTAAAATGTAGTATTTTTTTAAAGAGCTCATGGCTTTGCTAAATGAGAGGGAGAAAGTGCTGCTGAAAGTACTTAAAGAGTTTAAGGAGAGGGTGTGGTGTAGTGATGGAAGTTACAGGCTCTGGAAGAAAACAATGCTCAAACCTTGAGCCCTCCACACCTTACATCCCTGAGATGAGGTAAATGAAGAGTTTGGGGGCTTTCTGTTTCTGCAGGCTGCCCCATGACTACAAATCAGGGGATAATGGGTGGATGTGTTCCACATCGGCCCACCCATTTCCTTCCAGTGGCCTCCCACAAGCTCTGCTTATGGCTCTGGGGCCATACTCTCTGACCACCAACCAAGGGCCGGGAGGCCCGGACAGTTGGCCTAAGTTAAGTCCCTTCTCAACACTTTGAGGCTGGGACCCAGGGAGTTTAGTTGGTTTCCTCAGCCAGATGTATGTTCTGAGAAATGATGAACAGCTGTTCTTATGCAGAAGGAGGGCCGGTCAGACAGAAACTAGGAGGCCCTGACCCTAGCTCCTAACCTCCCAGCTATTGGCTGATATTTCTTCTGACACCTGCCTGTGCTGCATGTCTTGGGGGCCTGTGAACTATCCCAGCTTCCTTCTCTGAAGCCTCTTTACATTAGCTAGCTCTGAGGGTGTCAGTTTTCTAAAATCAAGCAATCTTTGATTAAATTGGTGGTCCTCTGACTTGAAAGAGATTTGGGTACCAAATTCCTCTAAATCAAATCCTATTTTCTCAGCAACATTCTTTTTAAAATAACAGATGTGTTTTCACTTAAAGAAGAAAAAGATTGGGAATGGACTGAATTGCATGCCTTCTGGTTCATAAAACTTTAGAATTATGGTAAGGCCATAGAATTCAGGTTTTTGAAATCCATAAACAATAGGGAAATTGCCCTTTCAATTCTTTTTTTGGTTCTGAAGAATTTCTCCCATGCTCACAGTCTCCTAACTCCGCATTCATAGGTTCTCTCGTTTGGCTTCAGTCATTCAACAAAACTTAAGTGCCTAATATGAGCTTGGTATTTTATCATAAACTGAGAGTTTAGAGATTAATAGGAAAATTTCCTGAAGGAGCTCAGTTATTAGGGGAGAAAATCAGGAAATTGATGAATATAACAGAATAGTAGGGCTCTGGCTGAGGTGGTCATGAGGTGGTCTGGGAGCCCAGGGAAGACATGGAACATGGAGGAAGCTGGTCCCTCATAGTCTAAGAAGTGAAGCTTGAGCCCTTGATGCTGTGGCTCAGTGGATTGAGTGCCAGCCTATGAACCAAAGGGTTGCTGATTCGATTCCCAGTCAGGGCACATGCCTAGGTTGCGGGTCAGGCCTCCAGTAGGGGGCGCACAAGAGGCAACCACACATTGCTGTTTCTCTCCCTCTCTTTCTCCCTCCCTTCCCCTCTCTCTAAAAATAAATAAATAAAAATCTTAAAAAAAAAGAAGTGAAGCTTAAGCTAAGTCTTGATAGCTAAGTATGTTACTTCAGGTCCTCAGGGAAAGAGACACAAGATAAAATTAGACACCTATGAAGGATAAAGCAGGAGGGAACAAGAGTAGGCAAGAAGAGCATTCAGAATGTGATGTAGGTCTAACCTCTGAGAGAAGTGAGGGAAGAAAGGACAACAGGGTAGGAAGAGCCTCAGACCAGAGCAGAGTTCTGAGAGTCTCAGTGGGGCAGATGGGGCGCCCAGAGCAATGATTGCCCATCGGACAAGTCCTGTGTCAGGAAGAATGGCCTAACTTTGGTGCCCCCACCATGCTGTCATTGGGTGGAACAGCTTGGGGAGAGTGTGGCCTTGGCAGGAATGCTGCTATGGATTCTGAAAGTTTACCAGGTGGGAGCTGTC